AGTAGCCAGAATTACAGGCATGCACTACCACACCCGGCTGATTTTTTGATTTATTGTAGAGATGAGGTCTCGCTGCCCAGGCGGGTCTCGAACCGCGGGCTCAGGCAATCCACTCACCTCAGCCTCCCAAAGGCGCGGGATTACAGGATAAGCCACTGAGCCCGGCGCCTGGTCCCTTCTTAACAGTAGAACTTACCAAGCAACTGTTTGATCTGCTACTGTTTCAATCACAGTATACAGAGCAAAAACAATCCAGTACATCATCCATCGAACCTGGAAATTAAAAAAAAAACACTCATGAAACAATAAAGTAAAATTATTTGCAACTCTGAATAATTATATATATGTATGTATTTCCAGCTGTATAGTTTGTTGGGTCAAATGCTGCAGGTAATAATTTAGCTTTCAACAGGTTTTATGTTTGAGTTCCTTACACCACTATATCAATAATCTTAGAGTACAAGAATCAAGGAATAACAAATCTCTGAGGCTTGATACAATATAATTTGGGAATCTACATCAAAGAACTGGAAAAACAGAAATATTTTTCTTAACTGGAGGAAAGTTCTTTAAAATATGTTATCTAGATGCTTCTTTATGAAGACTATTAGCTATTTAATTATTATATAAATAATATAGTATAATATATGAGCATAGTTAATCTTTATTAGTCTTTAAAATTTTGCATTTCTTCTTTTTCAATATAGAAAAATTGTTCAGAAACCAAATAACCCCAGGATTGTTATTTCTATTAATGACACTTTCACAATGTTAATCACCCTGCGTGTGGGTATAAGTTTTCCCTGATATAAGCCTGTAACCTCTTTCTCCTTCTTCTACTTCAGTTCTATAATAATAGTTCAGGACAGTTTTATCTTTTGACTGAATTAGGGTATGCTAACTGGTCTGTGACATTCTGATGTCTCTTGGTACCATTCCTTTTCATAGACTGTTGACAAATTGATTTTTCCTGAACTTGTTTCCCCCAATTCACACCTCAGCTTCTATCTCAGTGCACAGAATTTTTTTGTCTTTCAAGTGATGAGGGTCTCATTAAGGGTTAAAATGTCATCTTTGGCACAAAAATATAATAATAACAAATTCACAATGCTATGCCAACCATGGCCTTGAGACTGTGCTAAATACATCCCATATATTAATTAATTTAATCCCTACAACAACATTCCAGAGTAGGAAATAGGATTATTTCCATCGCAGATTAAAAAAATAATGGCACAGAAAGGTAAAATGACTTCTCAGGGTCACTTTGTGGGGACCTGGATCCAGGCTGCCTGACTCTAGAACTGGTTAATAATCTATTACACCTTCTAGAGAGAGAAGATGTGAGGAACTACTGAATGTGGGGTCCAACAATGGCTACCACATTCCTTGTTCTCATCCCAATCATGACAAAAAATTTAGGCCCTTATAAATAGCTAGAAAAGTGACCTATTTAGTTGGGGTTTTTTTTGAGTTGGAATCTCACTCTGTTGTCCAGGCTGGAGTGCAGTGGCATGCTCATGGCTACCCTAGCATCAACCTGCTAGGCTCCCCGATCCTTCCGCCTCAGCCTTCCAAGTAGCTGGAACTACAGGCGTGTACTACCACACTTGGCTAATACATATACTTTTTAAAATATAGAGACGAGACCTCACCAAGTTGCCCGGGCTGGTCTCGATCCTGCAGGCTCAGGCAATCCACTTGCCTCGGCCTCCCAAAGTGCTGGGATTACAGGCTGAACCACTGAGCCTGGCCCTATTTAGTTTTAATACACATGCTAGTTTGGGTACTTCACAGACAATGTAAAACTATAACTCAAGTAGTTTTTGTAGTTTTCTACTTACAAGAACAAATCAATTAAAAATAGCAATAGGCCAGGCGTGGTGGCTCAACACCTGCAGTCTCAGCAGTTTGGGAGGCCAAGGCTTGAGCCCAGGAATTTGAGACCAGGCTAGGCAATATAGTGAGGCACTGTCTCTACAAAGAAATTTTAAAAATTAGCTGGGCATGGAGGTGCATACCTGTAGTGCCAGCTGCTTGAGAGGCTGAGGCAAAAGTATTGCCAGAGCCTAGGCGGTCAAAGCTGCAGTGAACTGTGATCTTGCCAGTGTACTCCAGCCTGGGTGAAAGAGTGATACCCTGACTCAAAAAATAATACTAACAATTTTTTTCTAATTTATAGAAAATTCTGAAAGTTTAAAAAAATGCCCAAAGTAAATAGAGTACATTATCTATATTTCAAATATCAGAAAATTGGGGCTGAGTGCGGTAGCTCAATCCCAGCACTTTGGGAGGCCAAGGCGAGTGGAATGCCTGAGCCTGCCAGTTCGAGACCAGTGCGGGCCACTTGGCGAGACCTCGTCTCTACAATATATCAAAAATTAGCCGAATGTGGTAGTGTGCACCTGTAGTTTTGGCTGGTTGGAAGGCTAAGGCAGAAGGATCGCCGGAGCCCAGCAGGTTGATGCTGGGATGGCCGTGAGCATGCCACTGCACTCCAGCCTGGGCAACGGAGTGAGACCCCAACTCAAAAAAATTAAATTGAATTAAATTAAATTAAAACATTTTTAAAAAAGAAAAGAAAATTGATTGACAATATATTATCTCAAATTTTAAAAAGAAAGTTAGACCAAATGTTCTCTTTAGTTTTTTACTTTTCATAAATTCTTTTAAATCTCTCACTGTTCCTAACTCCAAGCTTTTGTCCAAGTATGGGGGTTTTCTTCCAGGGCTAAAATCCTATGTGTGTTTCTGTGTGTCTTTTCTTCCCTTCTGCCCGACTCCCTGCCCTTCTCTGTCTAAAAAGAATGATGCTTTTTCATGAGTAAATTCACTTAGCCTTTCCAAATCCAAACACTAGATTTACCTCTCAACTTTTACTACTTGTATCTCTTAACTGTATTTGACAGGTTATCTTTTACCCTGATTGGTCATAGGACTCTCTCCCACAAAAAAGAAATAAAGAAAAAAAATAACTGCTAACTGGACAATGTGCCTTTGTTTAGCTAGAAGGAATTTTGGAGATGATCAAGCTCTTTTAAAATAAATAAACCTTTACTGAAAAAAACTGTGAAAACAATGCAAGAGAAAACGTTCTTTGGGTCTCCCCTTCAACCTACACTGGGACTCTTAGGGAGATTCCAAGAAACCCTAGTGTTACGTGGGGTAGAATCGGAAAACAAATAGTATGGTAAACTGCCCTCATTTTACTGAGATCCAAAATGAGTAAGTTGCTCAAAGTCAACTAGGAAATGGCGAAGGAAGCACAATCCACCCTGAAGCCCGAATGATGAGCTTTTCCTAATGGGCAGCTGCCACCAAACCAGTCTCTCCGGTTCTCTAGGATTTCCTGGCTCTCTCCCTCTCCAGTACTCAGCACAGGAATTTCAGTGTCAACATTATCATCTTCTGTCCCAAGAAAAGGAGGACTAAATTAAATCTGGCTCTCTTTACAGAAAATGTAGGAAACTCTCAGAAAAATACAAGTATTTAAATCAATGCTTTTAATCATTCATTATTTCACAACAATCATTAAGTTTATGCTCTTCCAAAGTAAAAGTAATACTCCACAAACAGTCATAATTCACCTGTTATAGGGTTGAGCAGAGGTCAAAGGGATTATCCAGACAGTAGCTGTTTGCTGATGTTCCCTGAACGACTAGTTGTGGAATAGATTATAGCTGCTGCATGTCCCAAAGATTTCAAAAGTACTCGTGCTTCAGTTAAGTGCTTATTCAGTTTTCAAATGAAGTCATATTAATTTTAAAACTCACAAAATAACTACTTTAAAATATATGCTAGCTGGGCTCGGTGGCTCAGCCTGTAATCCCAGCGCTTTGGGAGGCTGAGGTGAGTGGATTGCCTGAGCCCACGGGTTCGAGACCCGCCTGGGCAACTTGGCAAGACCTCATCTCTACAATAAATAAAAAGTTAGCCAGGCGTGGTAGCGCATGCCTGTAGTTCCAGCTACTTGGAAGGCTGAGGCAGAAGGATCTCCGGAGCCCAGCAGGTCGAGGCTGTGGTGGCCGGGAGTGGCCACTGCACTCCAGTCTGGTGACAGAGTGAGACTCCAACTCAAACAAACAAACAAACAAACAAACAAACAATATATATGCTTATCTCTAAAGAACAAAATATCTGTTTAGATTGTGGAGGATATTTAATGTTAAAAATAAAAAAGGGAGAAAAGGAGGAAGGTTTTGACTTTTTAGTAAAAACGAAATGCAAAAAACCCCCCAATCCAATCAATAGGGTATTTCTGGGCATTTTCCTGGGGTACTGACTATAGTTTTATATAAGCAAAACCCCATGGTTTTAATTTATTTTTAATGAGTAAATTATTTGACATTTTGTTCTCTTGAACCTACGGGTCTTTTTAAAAAAAAATCTCTTTATCTGAAATATAGGCCTTAAATATGCTGGGGGTGCCAAAAAAATGGTACCAAAAATGTATACACATTTTAAGCAGTGTTATCTATTACTTTTAGTTCGCTGTAATCAGAAGTTCTGGACGCTGATGGTAATCACTTTGAGCATCTCTTGTAATTGCAGAAGTCAAATGTCACTTGTATTCATCTTTTGTTATGGGTATATATTGAGTATTACAATTTTAATATAGTTTTTTCCTTTCTTAAAATATGTGTGCATTTTTTTGGCATCCTTTGTAGTTGAATACATTCAATAATTAAGTAAATGGAATGAGCATGTGTTATTCATAGAAGCCACAAAGACAGTTAACCTTGAAAATATATTGCATTCTTTTTTTCTAGTAATGGATTTGGTTGGGAGTTTATACCAAACGATAACTCAGCGAAGCTTTTATTGAAACTATACCTCAAAGCTACTCAACCTACTGTTTAAGATTTTGCACAAAAGACATAATTGAAAAGAATCAAAGTAAAAAAAAAATTCAACATATGTGAAGAAAATATTCTTTAAATAAGGGACCAAATAAACCAAAATCACCAATAACAAAGTATAATATTAATACCAAAAAAAAGGTAGGAAAATAATCACATTGATTATCTTATGAACATATATAGCCAAATATAATAGAAACAACTGTTGTTAAGATATGTTACATAGGCTGGACATGGTGGCTCACGCCTGTAATCCCAACGCTTTGGGAGGCTGAGAAGGGAGGACTGCTGGTGGCCAGGAGTTTAAGACCAGCCTGGGCAACATAGTGAGACCCCATGTTTACCTCCCCAAAAATGTATATAAATAAAAGTCAGCAATTTAACAGATAACTTTGATAAATCACAATCTACCTT